TAGAGTTAAGTATTCTTTTCTCCTCTAGATAGGCCATTAATTGTTCCGCAACTAGCTTCTCTAGCACCTTAGAAATCACAGGTACAATTGCAATAGGTCGATAATTACAGATCGCATCAGCTGATCCGGACTTAAAAATTGGAGTCACAACAGCTGTTTTAAACCCTTGTGGAAATTCACATTTTTCAATTGACAAGTTCACTAGATGAGATATTGGTTTTACTAGATCGTCACTATACTTTTTGATTAAAAATGTATCTAAACCAAATATATCTTTTGCTTTGGATGAATTTAATTGATTGATAATTGTCCAACCTGCAGGGTTGGACTCACAAGTGCAAAAACAGGTCATTTTCTCCATTCAATTCAATAAAGTTTATTTATATAGCACCAATTCACAACACATCAACTCAAGGCACTTTACAGTTCCCCATATCATACAGTGAAATTGATTTAAAGTTTTCTATCAAAGGAAAACCAGTTCATTGCTTCGACTCATTGACTTGAAGGCAATCCTCACACTAAGTAGCTTGTAGCGACAGTGGAGAGGAAAAACTCCCTTTTAACATGAAGAAACCTCGAGCAGAACCAGTCCTGGGATTGAGCTAAACTGAGAGCACATTGAAGCTTGCCACCCCATGTAGGGGATCTCATGAGGATCGTCACAAGAAAGCATAAATTAACTCTGCTTAAAAAAGGAAAGAGACTAGAGCGAACTTAGGTGATGTTTAAATCAATGAGCATCTGACCAAGAAGAACAGTGACCCTACCAGGGAGGCCAGGATCCTAATTAAGCAAGGAAAAATTTAAACTTGGGGGAACAAGCACTGAAAGGCTTTTGTTAAACTGAACGGATCACCAGAGGAGAGAAAGATTATCTTCATCAGAGATTCTAAGGAGCTGGAGAAATTGACATGAAAACCATGTGAGGACAGAAAGTAACACCAATGCAACCAAGTTGGATTGCGCAATCAACATGTACTGATTTACAAACAGTTGCACATGTTACATCAGTAGCAGAGACTATGGATTAAAAACAGGCGAGAACCTCGGACATTGAGCCAGAAAATAATTGTATACGCTGAAGAGTTATATAACAGGCAAATAAAACAGAAAATATTATCTATAAATCTATAATAATTATCTATTATTATTATTACTGTTAAAGCTTGTTTGACCACATTATAGGCCAGTTTACACAACAGTTTAGGATCATTACAATATCCCGAGTCATGGGTTAGCTATGAAAGGAAGACTGATTTTAAGTTGGAAGGATATGAATTTAATTAAAGTGAGAATAAATGGTGGAAGAGTAGCTGTGTGGGAGAAACATGAGATATAAGTTATCGATAAATTGACAAAGGCGATTGAGGGCATAGTTGACAGAATAATGGTTGAATGTATTGAGGACGAGAAAAATGTTCTGGTTGGCTGCATTTATAGAACACCAGGTTTTGGCCCGGGTTTAAAGAAGCATTCACAAATGTAAATTAGTATCTATCTTTCTTCTGATGAGACTTTAATATTAATTTTCTATTCTCGCAGATGCATGACCCTACTAAATAGTTTATAAATACAGTGTACAGTATGACCTTTTTATCCAAAAATCCCCACACCCAGTAGAATTGCAACTCACTTTGCCACAGTAACAGATGATATATTTACAATGCTTATAGATAACAAGACAAGCTGATTTTTAAATTTTTAATATCAGTGACCCTCTATCAATGTTTGTGGTGCAATACAATGATAACACACCAGTGTCAGTGGTTTCTGACAGCTGATACAGGCAAGATGCTAAGGATGACAGACAAAAGTAAAAATAAATAAGAACAGAGGAGTCCATGATTGCATTCAGATAATATCAACTTAGTCCAAAGACTTAATATCCCAGGGAAAAAACACTGATAAAAATTGCCAAACATGTATATGATAAACACTGTCAATAAAAAATAATTACCAAAAAAAGAAAAAATATTCTGATGATCCGTGGATTAAAAAGAATTGCAAAATACCTGTAAAAATTACACACTGTATAGAGAATTGTTAAAGTATAGCTTGACAGAGACAGAAAATAAAATAACAGATAAAACAATTAATTAACCAACATTCTAAGGACATTTACACTATATTGCCAAAAGTATTTGCTCACCTGCCTTGACTCACATATGAGCTTAAGTGACATCCCGTTCCTAATCCATAGGGTTCAATATGACGTCGGTCCACCCTTTGCAGCTAGAACAGCTTCAACTCTTAAGGGAAGGCTGTCCACAAGGTTTAGGAGTGTGTTTATGGGAATTTTTGACCATTCTTCCAGAAGCGCATTTGTGAGGTCGCACACTGATGTTGGACGAGAAGGCCTGGCTCTCAGTCTCCGCTCTAATTCATCCCAAAGGTGTTCTATCGGGTTGAGGTCAGGACTCTGTGCAGGCCAGTCAAGTTCATCCACACCAGACTCTGTCATCCATGTCTTTATGGACCTTGCTTTGTGCACTGGTGCACAGTCATGTTGGAAGAGGAAGGGGCCAGCTCCAAACTGTTCCCACAAAGTTGGGAGCATGGAATTGTCCAAAATGTCTTGGTATGCTGAAGCATTCAGAGTTCCTTTCACTGGAACTAAGGGGCCAAGCCCAGCTCCTGAAAAACAACCTCACACCATAATCCCCCCTCCACCAAACTTTACACTTGGCACAATGCAGTCAGACAAGTACCGTTCTCCTGGCAACCGCCAAACCCAGACCCGTCCATCAGATTGCCAGATGGAGAAGCGCGATTCGTCACTCCAGAGAACGCGTCTCCACTGCTCTAGAGTCCAGTGGCGGCGTGCTTTACACCACCGCATCCGACGCTTTGCATTGCACTTGGTGATGTATGGCTTGGATGCAGCTGCTCGACCATGGAAACCCATTCCATGAAGCTCTCTGCGCACTGTTCTTGAGCTAATCTGAAGGCCACATGAAGTTTGGAGGTCTGTAGTGATTGACTCTGCAGAAAGTTGGCGACCTCTTCGCACTATGCGCGTCAGCATCCGCTGACCCCGCTCCGTCAGTTTACGTGGCCTACCACTTCGTGGCTGAGTTGCTGTCGTTCCCAAACACTTCCATTTTCTTATAATACAGCTGACAGTTGACTGTGGAATATTTAGGAGCGAGGAAATTTCACGACTGGATTTGTTGCACAGGTGGCATCCTATCACAGTTCCACGCTGGAATTCACTGAGCTCCTGAGAGCGACCCATTCTTTCACAAATGTTTGTAAAAACAGTCTGCATGCCTAGGTGCTTGAATGTATACACCTGTGGCCATGGAAGTGATTGGAACACCTGATTCCAATAATTTGGATGGGTGAGCAAATACTTTTGGCAATATAGTGTAAGTTAGAATTTCATAACAAAGGATTACATGACAATAAAAAAAATATATTAGAAAGGATCCAAAGAAGTTAATTGTCCACACAATTTTAAAGCAAATAATACAAGTATTCATCATTTTCTTTAAATAATCAATTGGTTACATGCAAGATCCATGATTCTTTAATAGCAAAGAACTGCAGTGAGGTGTTTCTAACAAGATAAAAGATATAAGATGGAAGAAAGAAGTTAAAAATGATCGGGCACTTCTATTCACTGTAGATTGGTGTTTACATATTTTTGCAATGCTTGTGTTGACTTTAAATAATAAAGTCAAAGTGAGCAAAGATGTGTGTAGGAACACATGAATGTGTATATGTGTGTTTATGTGTACATAAATTAAGCCATTTGCTCACTTAATAGAATTTTTTACTATGGACTAATGTTAAGTAGAAATAGGGAAGATTATTGGTGTTTAGGACTAGGAAAGAGGAGTATGAATTAATATACCGGTATTATACTTCTTCATACCTCTTTTTTATGACATAAGCACTAAATTATGCATAAAGCTAATTGTATATTTATCATTCAATATGCATAATATTTGTATCTGTTAAATTTGACATTTTACTGGATGTCTGAAATAAAGTTATTCATTCATTCATTCATTCATTCATTCATTCATTCATTCATTCATTCATTCAGTGTGGTGGCAGTGTTCCAGTTTTATGCTTTTCTGAAAAATATATATGTGGTCACTTTTGCAACTTTGGCAATTCAATTTTTCACTGGCCTGCACAGTATTTAGTGCATCTAACCTATCTATCTTGTTTTTAAAACCCTTAATTGTACATATAACTAAATTTCATTTTTAAGAACTGCTAAAAACTATCTGAAAATAAGATTTTGTTACTGTTAAAGTGAGTAGCAGCTGTATTACACGTGGAGGTTGGGTTCTGTTGCCCTAACTCTAAAACTTGTAATTCTGACGTTCTGGGGCATACCTATTGGAGTTTTTTACTAAGAGGTCAGAAATTCCACCCATTGAGTACAAATTGAACACATCACTTTTCCAGCTTCCTGCTGATAAATAGCAAACCCACATCAAGGTCCTGAAACCACCATTGTTCCTCATATTCATTATAAAATCATTTCGTTTGATGCCATATTCTTGACTTGCATAAAAGGAAAAATATTATTTTTTCATAGCCATCTGACCACAGGACCAATTTGCATCTGATTCTATTAAAAGGAGTTGGAGTAAAGGATAGCAAAATAAAAAAGGCAAAATAAACTTTTTTAGATTATTTGTCATTAACTTCACAAAATGCTCTAATTTGCATGCCAATAAAACCTCATAAAAACTGCTTCTATTTTTATGCATATAAACTGCATAATGAATTTCAAATAATTACAGTATAAGTTAGGAAAGTGATTTGTATGGCTATAATCTGACCATTTACATTTTGCATATTGTTAGGCCAAAACATGTGGAACAACAGTTTCACCATATTGCTCTCAAGCCATTTACCAGCACTCTGTATTTTATACAATGATCCTCTTTCTTTCTCTTTATCTAAAATAGAAGGCAAAGCCTGTTTTCACTTCCTGTTCTGTTTGAAAGGTTAATTCTTCTTTTACACTGGCTCAGATGACCATGTCCTGGTATAAATACTTGAGCTGTGACATCCCTGGGTACAGATATGCACTAAGGAATCAGACAACAGACAGAGATGTGTCCTACTGCTGAAAAGAAGACACAGGTGCAAAGGTAAGATCTAGCTTCGGTGACTGAATTCTCCTCTATTTTTGATGCACCTGCAGCTGCTTCATGTCTACTTTCAGTTTGAAGTGTAATTAGGCAGCTTGCTCAGGTCTCTATGCATCCGCTCCAACATTCCACTATCTATGATGTTAGTAGGCCCATCAGGACCTTGGGAGACCCAGAAGAATCTCAGCGATGGCGAAGAGAGATTACCTGGTGGAGGCAGCCAAGCAGATCCGAATGGCTCTGGACAGCGAGGTCAATGAAGACTATGAAGCAGCCTTCAGCTACTACAAGAACGGAGTGGATTTACTGTTGAATGGAGTCCAGTGTGAGTAGACTGTGTGATTCATTCTGAATGACCAGGTTTGCACAAGACCGGCATGTGACAGTGACATAAAAAAGAACAGGAAGTCAGAGAGATTTGATGATAAAGCCATTTTTTTCCCCATAGTGTCAACAGTCTGTCAGCTGTGTAACATGTAGGATCCGCAGAGCTACAGGAATTTGAATTGTTTTTTTTTATTATTTACTTATAGTGGACCCAAACAAAGATAGGAGAGAGGCTGTAAAGAGGAAGACCACTCAGTATCTAAAGCGAGCTGAAGAAATCTTCATAACCCATCTGCAGGATAACCTTGGAAAAGGAGGCTCTCATTTAGGGGTAAGTCATACCCATAGTAACCTACCTCTAACAAAAATTGAACAATGCTAAGAAAACCTAAACATATTTCCTTAGCTAGTGTTTATTTAAGTCATAATGTTTCAAAAGTTTTCTACATCACGTATACATAATAAATATCACAGTTTTGCTTTCAAAGATTAATCTGGTGTTTTTTTCCTTCTGCCGTGGAAACATTTCGATATTTTATGCAATACTTGGCCAGAAAATGCATATAGCAAATTGGTACTAAGAAAAGCAAGATTATGTATGCATGCACCTAATTCCATCCACAGGGTATTTCAAAGAGTAGAGATTAATAAAATTGCCTAAAAGGAAAATAATTTAAAAATCACTTTTGCTTGTAATCAAGGATTTTCATTATCCACCATAGCCCAGCACCTGACTTGTGTTATCTTTGGGATTGATTGCCAGGGCTACAGCAGTCTGAGATTTCGCCCGATCCGACACTTGAGTTCACCCGTAGAAGATCTGGAAATGTGTAAAGTAGTGGGAGTCACTGATAAGGTAGGTGAAGTTCTCTCACTTCAAACCTTTAGACATGCTCTTATAATTATTATAAATATTACACATTTCTTGACACAAAATGTAAAGATCTCTACAATAAAAAAGTATAAATGTTGCTTTAGTAATTTTAACTAATGGCAAACAGATTAAGAAATAATGCATTTTTAATGTAATACTAGCTGTTAATACCTTACACCCTCTCCTTTAGTCTTCTAAAACATTCTAAAGGACTATAGGTTAGATCTTTGACCATACAATCTCTATCTTAACAGTATTTTTTTGTAATATTTATCTGCTTAGATACCTAATTCTATTTCCCATTCCCAGTTATTCAGGTTCTTTTTTATTAAAATTGTGTGACATTTCAGAGTCCTCTATCTAATTGTGTCTAACAAGCAGCCTTTGGAATGGTAATGAGCCCTCAACATCAAGCATACTTAATAGTTATGATGAGGAACATTTCCACATATCCATCCTGTGTTTTAAATCAGACCCACCATAAACTGGTGCTTATAAAAGGTTAATCCTCTTCTAATCTGAACAAAGTCCATGTTTTTACTTGAAGGCCAAGTGAGATACAAAAAACAGATGTTTTTCATGATGGGACTGAAGAGCTTTGATTGTGAAATTTCTCTTACAAACTGGTTGGCATGGAGATTTATTTTATTCTTATTCATTTTTGGAAAATGAATGTTTCACCACCCTAAGCAGCCTGCTCAAAGTGCATGTTGACAAAGCAAACTTGGACCCTTGTTTGTCATATTTCCACTTATATTAAACAATTTCCCTTATTCTTTGATGAAGTAATTTGTGAATAAATATTGGACACTTTAGGTGATTTTCTTTTCTGTGATATCTTGTCTATCACATGTTTAAATTCAGCAAAGAACAACTGGTCACCTTATGTTGATAAACCAGGATGTCTGGAAGTATGAATTAAAGAAATGCTTGAAATTTGTTTTATAGTCAGTTTTTGTAGGATTTCTTGTAAGTACCAACAGATGAGTCAACAAGAATTTCAAAGCAATTTAGTACCTTTAAAATTTCTAAACGTGGTTGAATGTGATGCCTTAACATCAAGTGTTTTTTTTGTGTGCTTTTTTTGTAAATTATCTACTATGCTCAACCATGAAATTCATTCACAGAAATATTTACATTAGAATGATTTATGTGCTTCTCTTTGTTAGAATGACATATATGTACATATTTATTTTCTAAAGGTCCTGATTGTCCAAAGCATGGTCAACAAAGAGACATTTGTTGTAAAGGTAAGGATGCTCTACAGAACTGTAGGGGAAAAAAATGATTAGATCAAATTGTATATGCTATATTATATTTTCATTTGAAAGCAACCTTCTACTGATTGTTGAAAACTATATGCAGTAGGTATAGATATATACATTATATTTATATACAGTATGAAAAGAAGAAGAAACACTTTCTATTCTTTTCAACATATTTTCTTATATAACTACATTTTCAGATCCATTCTTATGTGACAAGGTCAGCTAATGGTGGTCAGACTATGTTACCATGTCCAAAAACAAATGCCTTAAAGAGAACGGTTATTTATCGTGCCATCGTGTATTGGAATAACTGCCCACTGAATATTCTGCACTTGAACTAAATAGTAAAGTTTTTTTTATTATTACTTGAGAATGCACTACTTAAATGTGTGAGTTGTGAATTAACATATTTATTGTATGAAAGTGAGATTTTTGTAATGGATATGAATTTATTGAAATGATTTCTGATGACCTCTTTTATAATAATAATGTCAATAATGTTTAATTTTTAGGTTTTTTAATTGTTAACTGATTTTTTTTTTGTCTGGTGGACTCCAGGAAGACAAGCTCATCCCACTTTTAGTAACAACTAATGGGGATCTCTATCAAACAACAAACAATAAAAAATATGAGGGGGCCACTAATTTGTACATGTACATTTGTATACATATGTACTGCCCCGAAAAGGCGTATACAAAATCTTTTTAACATTTCTTACAAAGTTGTAATGTGAATAAGAATTGTTGGTGTTTATACATATATATGTATATGTGTATCAATATACACTAGCTAAAGCTACGAAGGCCAGAGAAATTTATAAGAGAACATTATTGTTGTTAAACTTGACATTGTCATGGCAAGATCGAGGAACACAACCAACAAAACTGACAAAAGAGTTAAGGAAGACACAGATAAACTTGTGGAAGCTTGTCTGGTCAAATTATATCATACTTAAGCATTTAGGCCAACAAAAGAATAGCAGTATATAAAGGAGAAAACAGACACTGCACATCCTATACTGTAAAGAAATCACACGCACTTTTAAACACGGTGGTGGCAGCATCATGTTGGAGGAATGATTCTCTTTAGCATAGACAGCGAACTTAATCAGTTCATAGGATACAGATAAATACAAGCCATCGAGCAAGTAGACCTGTTAGAGATTGCAAAAAATAGAGGCTAAGGTGGAAGGTCCCTTTTTCACAGAACAAGAACCTTTAAACTAGTCAGATCTTTAATAAAAAGGTTTAAAACAAAGCATATTTAGATTTTTGAACGATTAAAGGTGAAGTCAGGAACAGTCCAAACTTCAGTGATTACTTCTACCAACCCCCACAGAACACCAATTTTAATTTTCCTTCCCATTTACAGCTATGCATTACTGTGTGTTTCTTTATCTACAACTACAACGCCAGAAAAAAACAAAAAACATTTAACTTTGAGGTTGTACTATGACACAATATGAAAAGGTTGCCTTGGCAAGGCACTAGTGTGACACACGCTCAAAGTGATGTTTCAAACAATAGATCACTTTATCTAAATATCAAAGTCCAAACTAGCGTATTTAAATAAATCAAAACATGCGTGCTTTGGCAGAGCCTCGTCAAATCCAGCTGGGAGAGCAGAGACCAAACTACCATTATTCCTCAAGGTGTGCCCTATATGGTGAAGCTGCTGCGGTACTATGTCAGTGAGGATGCCGTGTACCTGCATCTAGAGCATGTCAAAGGTAAGTGACTGTCATCTGGTTTCCCTATAAATGATAAAGCTGTCCACAGGATTATAAGAAACATAAATATGAGACATTTTTGTTTGGTTTTTTACAGGTGGGCGACTTTTCTCCAAGTTGCGCAAACTTAGAAATGAGAAGACCAAGGAACACCCAGACCCATGCTTCTCCTCTGGCCACCACATCATGCTGAAGACAAGCCACACCTCCCCTTCAATCACCACAGACTTCAACCACAGCAGCAGGAGCAGAGCAGTGAGTTCACACAAACCTACAGATGAGAGTCCAGATACAGACTTCCCAAACTCATGGCATGAGACTCAACAGCGATTGGAAAGCTGCGGGACACACTCTTACATTGAGGAGACCGGCTGCCTCCAGAACACACGGTCGGCTGCGTCGTTTTACACCAAGCTGGATCAGCTGACTCTAGTCTCTGGCCTGACAAGGACACAAGTCAACACCCAGCTCCATCCACCAGCCCCGAGTTTGTGTTTGCATTCCAGTGAAGCTCAGGAAAAGCCGGCTCTTCCTCTCCCCTGTGCCCGTGTCAGCCAAGCTCTTGATGTCATGTCAGAACTCCATAAAAAGAAAGCTGGGATGGGACTGGTAGAGTGCAGCACAGACTTTGAGGCGGCCTGGGAAGCCGCTGACCCGATGCACAGCTGTACTAAAGCAAACTCCTATGCAGTGACTGGCAATAATTTGCAAAGAGCAACATCTCAAACAAATCAGACCTCATATAAAAGACCAGAATCCCCAATAAGTCAAAATGCTGCTTTAAGCTCCTCTCCTGCCATTTTGCACCTCCCTCTCCATTGCCAGACCCAAATCCATGGCAGAGCATCATGGGAAGCTAATGCCTCCCAACAGGGATCCATTTTAGGTGGAAGTTCCGAAGAGATGAATGCTGATTTGAAGGAAGAAAGCAGCCCTGTTGTAGAAGAAAGAAATGGAATGATAGTCATCCGGAGCACAGACAGAGCAGTATTTTCTGATCACACGAACACAAGCATTATCTCACAAAGCTCTCCAGATTTTACGACTTCATTTTTGCACAGTAGCCTAAATATACAAGGGATAGTATTAGATGAACACCAAAAAGGAGAAAATTGCCCTACAGAAGTAAAACAGAGAGTAGAAATGGCCTGTGAAGTTCTTAGTCCTGGAGGGAAAAACCAAAAAGTGGGATCGTATGTAGGCTGGGTCTCTCCTGACCCTCTTGGAGTCACAAGCCACAGCAACAAAAAGAATGTGGAGGGACCAGAGATGCAAGGAGAAGACCAGATCATCGAGGTGGACGGCTGGTGTCATCTGCCACGTTTTCCTACCAAGAACTCCAGGCCTGCAGATAAGGCCTTGCAGAACTGTTGGGGGCTTCCAGAAGCCGAGGTGCGTGTGTGGGGTGCGCAGATTCTGTTGGCGTTGGAGAGTCTGCATGAGCAGGGCATCTTTTGTCGTGATCTCAACCCAAGGAACATCCTGCTCACCAGCAACGGTGAGACCGGCAATTCTTCCTACTCCCATTAAATTGTCATGTTTAATAGATGTAAGAAAAATGGAGACAAAAATGAATCATCTGAGAACTTTCCAACCTTACCGTGTCCTACGACCCAGTCAGCTCAATTGAACAATAGAAACCAATTAAAGTGATATTTAAACATCTGAAGGAAGTTGTTACACAGATTTTCTCAATTGAACTAATGTTTTGGTGAGGCTCTTTGATTTTACCAACATACTAGGTCTTTTTTTTGTCAGATTCTTTCAATAGTGCATATTTTGTATTTGCCAACTCTTGTCTTAAAGGTACTTTTAATCTATAAAAAGAAATCTCGGTGCAAAGCTCACCACAGATATTGAATCTGAGCTCTGGCAGGACCATTGCATTACTTTATTATTCTTCTAGTGTCACCTTCAGCTGACTGGAAGATTTTCTGCAAATATTGTCTGCTGTTAAGAATGTTAAAAATAGGCGCTGTGTATGCACCCTGATGCTCTATCTTTCCGGTTCTTTTTCCTGAAAAAAGATCTCTCAGGACAAACTCTTTAAATAACATTTCATAACTTATAAGCATTAAAGAACCAGGAGACATGACAACAGATTTTGATAGAAATTGTAATCTTACTCAGATCAGACAAATTGCATAGAATATACAGATGGCCGCTGCTCACCTCTGGACTCACCTCTGAGGAAGTGGCCCCGATTAATAGTTAAAAAGGCATTTTTTACATCTCCAGTCTGCCATATCATCATGTTTTACATTATATGATTAGATGATAAGACATCCATGGCTCAAGCCTTATAAAATTGAACACCTCTCTCATTTCATTTCCAAATCTTTGCCACGTACAAAATGAAGATTATAACTGCATATCCAGACAGAGGAACCGTCCTAATTAGATTAAAACGTCAGTTCTGATGCACAACAGGCAGCCCATACCAGGGTGTAATAAACCTACACATCTTCAATGATAAATATCATAACAAGAATGTTTATAACTTTCCAGTAATATCTCGACAGCATGATGCAGACACTACCATGCCTCACTGTGGATTTGGCAGTCTTTTGAAACTTTGGTATAAAGTTCCTCTTTTTTAAGTAGAACTGGCTTTGTTTGCCGACATGCTCTTAAGAGACTAAGCATTTTTTTTGCAAAAAAAAAAAAACGTAGATGGGGTTGGATTAGTTTTCCTCTAATAAAAAAGGACTTCCAGATTGATGAAGAACATTGGGAACCATTGGGAATCCCTACAGTTCCTTTAATGCTGCTGTTTGGCTCTTAGAAGCCGTTTGGGGAGGCTTTCATCTGACCTTTCATCAGTTTTGTAGGTATGTCCACTTCTCGATTTTTCAAATCTCCAAGTTAAAGGAAACAGTAAAGTTTTCTTAAAAAAAAAAGAAATATCTAATTGTCTAATTGTTTTTACATCATAATAAAAAGGCAATTTAACAAGAGGAGTGCAAGGTTATAAGCAAACAAAAAGCTATTTTGCAGTTTGACTAAGCAACATGTTTTCACAGGAAAGGTGTGTTTGACGTTTTTCAGCCAGTGGAGTGAGGTTCAGTCAGAGATCAGCTCCAAAGCCATTGAACAGATGTACTGTGCTCCAGGTAAGGATATTTGTCATCTCAAATCTCCTTGGTGTTATCTGCCACCTAGTGGCAACATGCTGGTAGTACCACACTAGATGGCATTTCTGAAGACATTTTAAGCAGCATTCCTAATCCAGACCATTGTGTGTTCCCAGAAATTGGAGGAGTTTCAAGGATAACAGAAGCTTGTGATTGGTGGAGTCTTGGGGCTTTGCTGTTTGAACTTCTAACAGGAATGGTAACAGGAAAGATGGAGATGTGTACTGTGATTGCATTGAAGCTGGTGTTTGTCCATTCTCTATGTTGTGAGAAATCTAAAGGTTTTGTATGCTCCTCCAGCCCCTTTGGCAGCTGCATCCAGCAGGAATCCATTCCCACACCCAGCTGGTCATCCCCGACCATCTAAGTGCTGCAGCAGCTTCCCTGCTCACTGAGGTTAGAGTAAAGGATTTACAGGATCTTGCAAAAGTACTTATATACTGGGGGAAAAAAATCGAAATCTATATAAGTCATTTTTTCTTAAAATAAGTGCATTTGTTCTTGGATTGGAGGTAAAAGAGACATTTCACCAATGTCTTATGGTATTTGAAGTGCATATTATCTGATTATCTTATTTTAAGAGTAAAAATACTTGTTCCATTGGCAAAATATCTCATTTACCTACTCAAATTAAGGATAAATACACTTAATTTAACTTTTTTTTTTATTTCTAGATGTTTTTTCCAGTGTACAGCTTGACCATTTTCCTATTTAGTCACAGTTTAAACATAAATATTGGCTTTAGCACAAAGAAGCACATATATTTTCTCTGTATTTTTATATCTTGCAGCAAATTCTTGATTGGCTTTACATCCTATAACAGTTTTATCTTTTTTTTGACTGATGATCTCAGATTTCAAGGAGTATAAAAACTTTTGTAAGGTTTTATATAAAAAAGACCTGATAATTACCTTAAAACCTTGTTAAAGCTCTGAATCAAAGATTTTTTCTCCCTACAGCTGCTTCAGTTCGATGCGGGTTATCGCTTGGGTTCTGGAGGTGGAGGAGTAAGCGAAATTAAATGCCATCCATTCTTCAGTGGTGTGTCCTGGAAGGCTCTTTCCTGCTAGCAGGGATTTTATTTTTTATTTATTTTTTTGCCAGAATGGACTTAAAGAGAAAAGGCCGATTTGGATTTCACCATCATGTCCAGAGTGGATGAAGCCCAAATGTTACATGAGAATATTCAAAGAAAAGGTTGTGCTTTGAATTTCAAGTGCCTTGCAAAAGCATTTATACCTGACTTTTTTCACATTACAACAACTACAACTACAAACTACACCAGCATAAAATTACAAACTTAGTCATCTTATTTGCCAGACCAACACAAAGTAGCACATGATTCTGAAGCACAAGTCAGAAATGTTTTGCTCCTTCGTTCTTTTGTTTGCATTAAGTTCCATCCAAGCATTTTAGTGCTTATAGATGCATGATGCTGCCTCCACCATGCTTCCCAGATGGGATTTTATTCATCCATCTTATGGGCAAAAGCCAGGGGTAAACCCAGCACAGCCTATCAAAGGACAATACACAATTATACAATTTAGATCTATCCTGGTTACATTAGGTAGAGCGTCTGGCATAAAAACAAAGTTGGTTTTGACCTACTGTGGTAACCTTTGAATAAAGGAGCCGCCAGAGGGACCTGCCCCTTTTCAGTAAGATTTTTCTGTGTTCCTCAATTTCTAAATATTAATGTCATCTTGTGATGTGGTAAAATGTGAAAAATCAGATGCTTTTCCAAGGCACTGTGATTCATAAGTACAGGCACAAAGTGATTTGCAGAACACTCATAGGAACTTATTGTGTTTTGATGCAATTTTTGATAACTAGGTTTTACATATCACCTTCATAACCATCCTGCATGTCAATAAACCCTTCCAAACAAAGACTCTGAATGGATTTGTGACTGACAGAAAAACAAGAACATTCACTGTAACAATGAAAGAAGATAGCTCTGGATTAGACGGCCGTCTTGGGTTAATAGGTATTTTCCTGTGATGGAAAGACTGATTCAATACTAAACTCTGCAGTAAGATCGATTTGGATTCTTAGATTAAAAAAAATCTTTATATGCTACATAAATCAATTTGTTTAGGATTTTGTTTTCATAGTTATAAACATTCTCCAATCATCAGCTTTTAAAGGAATCAATATTTACATTAGAAAAGTTTTTTTTTTTAAACCAATAGATTGTTGGAGTTGGTTTCAGAAAGGTTTACTGAAAACTCTCAAGTTTTCTTTACCTGAAACCAGGGACACCGAGTTTTCAGAAAGAGAGTTAATGCAACCCGTTTCTGTTACCACAGTAACCGTCTCACCACAGATAGCCTAGCCAGGAGCAGATCAATTGATTAGGTTTTGAAAACAAATATTTCATGTCCTTTAGACAAGGATCAGCATTAATTGAGAATTAAACAGGCTATTTATAGGGAGAGGAATTGACAACTCAGTTGATAGAATATGAGATTTTTTTGTTTTTTTATTTGTTAGATAATATGAGCTGCATGCGGTTCTTTTACAGTTTAGGAAGAACTAGTGAAATTATTTTCTGATTACACATAAATAGCTTAATTCTGTGGGGGGAAATGAATTACTACAAGGATAGGATCAGGATTCATTCGGTGATAACCCACTGACCCTACTGCTAGGCAGGAGAAACAGTCTGAAGCCATTCTATTGGGCTGATAACCACTAACAATGGTCATTTATTGACATTACATCCAAGCCGGTGTAAACAGAGTTTTTACTGTATAATTAAAGGTAGAATAGGGAGGAACCCTATGAGATGATGCACAGGTCCTACCTGTTAGAACCATGGTTAGAACAATGCTTTTAGATGTCAATTTCTCCTGCTGACAGGTGATTTCACCTAAATAGATGTATTAACCATTAACATTCAAGCAATAAACTACTGGTCAGCATTTTTATTATTTTGACAATGAAGAAAAGTAATTCAGATAAATACATATTCAGTCAATCGGATTAATGGCAAAACTGCCACTTACAATGTGTAAACATTTTTAGATATATAAAACTTAATTCTTAGAAGTGCAATTTAGTTATTACTTCCTGAAATTCAATCCCTGCTGCAAAATTGTAATTACGTTTCTGACTAGAAATGTGATTTTAACCAGGAAGAATCCTACTTTAGTGATCTACCAATGGAACAAGAGTGCTCTTTTAACTGTAAAAATGGCCTGCTATACCAGACTCCCTATAAGGCAATTATTCAGCAGCAATCAATAGCAGCAATCCTCTCCTTTGCAGCTGTAGCCCTGTTTATCTTTTAAAGACATTCTCTATTTTATTTCTGCATTGAAGTCCCAGTGGGGTGAAATTGCCACTTCCTCCTCCTCCTGCCTTTCGTCGTCGTGACTCGTCAAATCAGGGTTCCGCTGATAAAGCTTTTCATAGTTGTTAAACATGTGCTCAATTCTGAGCGGACCTACTTAGTTGATTAAACTAACTAAAAGCAGGTTTTGTGAAACTGAAAGTCAAGTTTCCAACATTAGACTAAAACAATCCAGAGTGGAGGATTTGAGTTTGTTAAACCTACTAATTAAAACGGACCCTTGGTCTGAAAAGGTCAGGGGTCCATTGAAACCTCTCATGGTCCATCAAATGTTGATATTTGTTGTAAACCTAAATTAATCTTAAACAGTATAGCAGTGATAAACAGCAATATCAAGATTCTTAAACAACTAAAACTGGGAGAACAAACCTATTCTTAAGCCTATGCTGCCCTGTAAAATTTGGTTTACCTATCATTTTTTTTTAAGCTACACATAAAGCTTTTACGGTCATCAATAGTTGATCCCTACAGATTAAAAAACAACAGCAACTGAAACAGATGCAAAGACATTCAAGACAAAAGCAGCAGTGGGATAATGAAGTATTTATTGTTTAAAACTTTCCTTTTTCTCTTAAATAGTCTATCTCACACAGCAAAAAGAGAATTTCAAACCTCTGAGGATTCCTTCACTTTGGAGATTTTTAAAACATAGTGTCTTGTTTTCTAGCCCAATGTGTGCTCATTGTTCTTTTCCTCAACCACAATAATAAAATTCTATGTAGTTGCATCGTTACTTGCCTGTCATCTCACAATAAGTGGATTTTTTTTTATTTGTTATTCTTTGTAGAAAATGACATTTGGCGAAGAAATTTAATAACATTTCTCATTGTTTCTTTGATCAAAAGACCAGCACCTGAAACCCCAGAGCCCAGGACTTAAACCTTTCAGCTGGTCTTACAAATGTCCACAGCACAACCGAACTTTTCACAATAAATCCTCGTTTATCCCTCTAGTTAACCAATACATTACATTAAATGCAGTTATGGTAGTTTTTTCTTCTTAGTTGTGAACAGCAGCCGTTGGTGTGGGGTTGGTTCGGTGGGCCCAGAGTTGACAAAGGTTCACATGTCGAGGAGGAGAACCCTGGGGTCCTCCACCACTGACTTGATCTTACGCAGGAAAGTGACGGCCTCTCTTCCATCGATGAGACGGTGGTCGTATGTCAAAGCGACATACATCATTGGACGGATCTCCACCTACATGAACAACAATAAATTAAATTTTCATCAGATTAAAACAGTAATTTCAGTTTTAAGTGGTTGCCGTTACCACAACAATTGTATGCACTGATCAAATATTTTGTGGCTAGCATCTTCTCACCGATCTTTTAAAACCACAAATAAAAGATTATTGTAGATGTTTTAGCCTTTAATAGCTATACATATATAGTAAATAAAAAGATTTTGAGGAGGGGCTAACGTTCTGCTCTCCCATGCTCACCTTTACTTTTATCAGAGTTATTGTGTTTTAGACCATTTAGTGAAACAAAAACAAGCAAAAAAAATAATGTTGAATGTAGTAACTTTTTCTGTGTTGTTTGAAACTTTGGTAACCAGTGTAAGCCTCATGCAGGAATCTGCCTGAAGTCAGAGGAGGGAAGAAAGCCACTTTAGCCAGTTTCCCATTGGAAATGAGTCACACATGAGCAAAGCTTCCACTGATTCTCCCAAAGATTACAAAGCAGGATGTGGATATAATATAAACAATCTTTTAAATAGTTCCCTCCCTGTACTTGATTTCCACGGAGCCTCTCACCTTATCTACTTTGTGCCTTTGTGTATGTATTTTGGCTTAAGGTAAAATATACGTTCATTTGTTTAAGTTTTAAGCACGTTTAAGCATCACTTTCAGTCCTCCCAATTTTCATATTTCTCTCCCCTTGAATCATACTTTTTTCCAGCCCTTTATTTATATAGTTAGTGTTTTTATTGTTTTGCCTATATTAAAATTTTTTTTACCTTTTTTATTCATTTTGGGTTTGTTTTTTTTCAAATGTTAAAAAAAGAAAATTTCAGTGCTAATTATTTGTTTATTAACCTTTAGTTTGAAAAAAAAAAAAAGAATGGATATTGAGTGCTGTTAAAAGTAGTAGTATAGATAAATCATTACCAATAGCCCTACCTACCCCCCGTGTATATTAATAGGGATGTTCCAAACCAATACAGATATCAGAAACTGAGCCTATATCAGCAGAAAAACAGAATATCTGCCTGCATCTCAGATAAAAGTGGTAATAGTTAATGCAGGGTTTATACAGGAATGAGTAACTCTAATTTAATGCTTTTTAATGCTCTTAGAAATATTTTTTAATGCCACAAACAATTTTCAATGACTCTGCGGCCATGGCCCGAATTCCTCGTTTTCCAGCCACTTTAGTTAAAATTAGCATTTCCCCCCATTCTCTAGCCTTTCTCCGCCTCAAGCTTCATTTCCGAACATACGGCTTTCCAATCAACCGGAAACAGTTCCGCTCAAACACGTGGAATAAGGGTGTGCAAAATAATCGTCATGACGATGCTTCGCGGTTCTAATTTTTGTGATCTACTGCATCGATTCTTGAAGGCAAGAATCGATTATAAAAAAAAAAAAAAAAAATGAACAAATAAAATCAGCCACATCAGCCAAATCAAGTGGAATACAACTTCCAGTCCAGCAGATGTCGCTGCGGATGTGTTGACGCCCGCTGCTTTGTGTCACAAGCATGTCCGGCCGCGGGATACTGAGACGAGTCATTCGTAAAGAAAACATGGAGGACACTATGAAAATTCGCCCCGTGGCTCCATCACATTTCAAGTCAGATGCTTGGATGCATTCTGGCTTTAAAAACAAAGAAGGTAAAAATTAAATTGATATGATGCACATAATTTGCAAAAGGACCACTGAGGCAATGTAAATGGCACGGATTATCCTTATTTTGTTATTTTAAGTTTGATGAATCCTAAAATCTTTTTGTCAGTGTGTCCACGTCAGTAACAGTAATATTTCTGTCCAGTATTTGTTTTCATTGCAATACCTCCAAAAGTGGTTTCAATAAATACAGCTATGTATGAATTCAGTTGCTTTCAGTTATGTATCAATTGAAGACACTACAGTATCCAGATCATACACAGCCAGTCAGCCACTGGTAATGGCTGTGTCTTCTTACAGTGTTCAGTGAAAATATCGCAATGCATCGCAATATTTCAAGTATTGCAATGCATCGTGATAGAATCGCATCGTGGCATGTGAATCGTGATTTGAATCGATTAATGACTTCTTTGCCAATACCCACCCCTAACGTGGAACCAATTATATCTGACAGAATTGTTGTTTTTTAAATAAAGCATTTTAAATGCTATGATAAAATAATACATTTAATGACCTGTGGAAACCCTGTATTGGGTCAGTTCTCATACCCATTGCTGTTGACTATCTTTCTATGAGTAATGTCACTTCATCAAGCCTTTTCAAACACTTCACAATCCAAAATGAGCAATCAAAATATGTACAATTTGTGATGATATCGTATCGGCAGGGTATAGAACAACATTCAAAGC